GCCTGCCACTGCACATGCCAGGACACTCACTACAGGCCTGAGTGCATACAGACTTTGTAGTGAGGAACGTCAAGCATGATCCACCCAAATCATGAAGAGATGAGATTTCAAAGACTCCTTCAGCTATTCAGTGCCTACTGCAATTCACCCAGAGTTGAAGCCTAGTTGTATGTAGTAAAGGAACAGAGATAAACTGCAGGTTTTAAAACATCAAGGGGGCTCCATATGTGAGAGTGATATTGTGGGTAATTTACAATTTTACTTAATATTTTTCTATCGTATCTTTTTAACCATAAAACCATATTATTTTTATAACAGTAAAAGATCAAACTAGCTCTATTTTTGCAAATGGTAGATGCTTAATTTACACTAGAACATTTTGACAAAATAAAGGCTCCTGTGACAACTGTAGAATTAAAAAAAAGGAAAGACAAGGGAGAAACTCAAAACTAAGACAAATGGAACAGAAGGAGCATTAAGCCCTCAGAGAACAAATTTATTGAATTGAAAAGATGCAATATCTATTGTGCCACAGTGAACAAATTTAAAAGAGGAATCAGATATTATTCCATGTTCCCTCAGAGCAGGAGAGTACAGAATAAAGTGCTAAAAGTAGATCTGACAAAGGGTCTTATTTGAAGGTGCCATGCTTGGTGAGTGATGCCCAAGAGTGTGAACACAAGTTAGTGTCAGGTGATAACCAGGATGACTGAAATATTCATGTTGGCCTCACTAGTTCTATGCCCAGAGTGGTAGGGGCAAAAGATCCATTCACAGAACAAGTCTGTGCCTTCAGAAAGTAAACAGCCACAAATCCCAGGATTGCATCTTCAAGAGCCAGATTCATATGCTGTATTTACTCTCTCAGAATTCACCTGGGTCAGGGAAAGGAGTAACAAATCCTACAAGAACAAATTACTGATGATTCTAGAAGATTCTTTCTTCACTTGTTAACATTCAACCTCTCCCCACCGTTGCACTTCCAAGATAACTATTCCTGGTTCAAAAGGCCCCTTGAGCCCTCTCTTCTCCTCACACCCCCTTTCAAAAGGCCCCTCGGGCCCTGTCTCCTCCTCATACCCCTCTCCTCTGGCTGTCCGTCTTTCTTCTACTGCCTTTCCTCCCTTGGTCACTCATCACTGCATTGCACTGGCAGTGCTTATTCATGTCGACTGTCTTCACCAAACCATAAGACCTTCAATGTCCAGCTCTATCTTGGTCATCTGTGTCCCCTAATAATTAGCATAGCCCCTGGCACATACATGGAATCCACAACTGTTTTGTGATTTAGGAGAGATTGGCAAAAGACTCCATTTCTGGAATTTTTTACTTTAAATAAATAAGAATATGGATAATGAAGCACTTGAGTAGAAGAAAAAAATACATTCCGTTTATCTACTAAAATACTTCACAGTAAAGCCTCATTAATACAACCTTAATGACTTAAGAACTGATTATTATTTTAGCTGGACTGAAATTTACTGTGACAACTCATGTGGACAGTGTGTGCAGGAAATACGAAGAGCAGAGCCACCATGGGGAGGGAGAGAAGCAAGGAGGCTCCGCATTTGCCTGTTTCTCAAGAGTGAACTTCAAGGACCACAGAATGATTTTTATAGGAAAAAGAGTGTTACTTTCATAAATAAACATAATCGAAAGAAAATCTAATGCCCAGCCCAACACCTGGTCAATAGCTGGTCAGTGATTATCACACCCAGCAGGCCACACCTGGATCTCACTGTACAGTCTCCCAGAATCCACACTGAGCACCACTCCTCCATGCCATCACTCACTCACTCAGCCCTTGCAGGCAGCCAGGAAATACACGGGGCTCAACACATCCAGCTGGTATTTTAAGCAAAGAAATCTTCCCCTGATGTTAGCTTTGGTTTTCCTTTCCACGTTTCCCCCTTTTTAATGCCAGTCTTAAGGTTCCTGAGAAAACGCAACAAGACAAGAAAAAAAGGAGATGGCAGGGTGGTTAAGAGGACAGCTTTGGAGCTGGGCAGATCTCAGTGAAATTCCAATCCTTTCACTTACTGAGGAATTATCTCCGAGTCTTGGTTTCCTTATCAATAAAATAAAAATAGTAATAGAACTTATTGGGTAATCATGAAGTTTAAATAAGGCAATGCATAAAAATTACTTAATAAATTTTAATAATTATTATTCTCTGCATCAAAGACAGATTAGCATGATGGTTAAAAGCATGCATCATATTGCCTGAGTTTAAATCCCTGCTCTGCCACTTCCTAGCTATTCTGGCAAATTACTTAACCTCTCGTGTCCTAGTGACCACTAAATGGAGTTCCTGGGACAAGTATATGTGGAATACATTTAAAGTAATTAGGACAGTGCCTGACACAGAATAAGCGCTCAGTAGACATTAGCTGTTATTAACTACAGACATCTAGAAAAGAGTTCCTGCACATCAAATTTTAATATTTGGAAGGTGACAAATGCCATGAATAAGCAATTTATAGAAAGAATATAAATGGCCAATAATATTAAAAGATGCTCAGCCTCATTCATTAACGGAATGCAAATTTAAAACAATGATTTAGTTTTCCAACCAAGATTTTGTAAAAATTAAAAGGGTAATATTAAATCATAGTGAGCAGAAAAATATGCACTCCCAATATATAGTTGATGGAAATGTAAATCTGCACATTTTTGAAAACTGTATGATATTATCTATCAAAAGTGTAGGCCAGGTGCTGTGGCTAACACCTATAATTCCACAATTTTTGGAAGGCTGAGGGAGGAGGACTGCTTGAGCCCAGCAGTTCATCATCATCTTGGGCAACAAAGCAAGATCCCTTCTCTACAAAAGATTTTATTTTTTAAATTAGCCAAGCTCAGTGGCATGTATCTACAGTCCCAGCTACTTGGGAGGCTGAGGCAGGAGTATCCCTTAAGCTCAGGAGTCCGAGGTTGCAGTGAGCTATGATCACGCCACTCTAGTCCAGCCTGGGTGACAGAGTAAAAATCTTGTCTCAAAAAAAAAAGGTGGGGTGCAGTGGCTCATGCCTGTAATCTTGGCACTTTGGGAGGCCGAGGCAGGTGGATCACGTGAGGTCAGGAGTTCGAGACGAGCCTGGGAAACATAGTAAAACTCTGTCTCTACTAAAAACACAAAAATTAGTTGAACATGGTGGTGCATGCCTGTGATCCCAGCTACTCAGGAGCCTGAGGCACGAGAAATGCTTGAATCCAGGAGGTGGAGGTTGCGGTGAGCCGAGATTGCACCACTGCACTCCAGCTTGGGCAACACAGTGAGACTGTCTTAAAAAAATAAAAGTGAAAAAGTATAAAAACACATTCTTTTGACCCAGCAGTTCCATCTCCAGAACTAAATCCAAAAGAAATATTCATCAAAGTGGGCAAACATATGTAAAAGAAACTAGAAACACCACCACATGGCCATCAATAGAGCACTGGTTAAATACACAGCTTTACACCAACACAGTGGAAAATAGCCATTAAAAAAATACTGAATATCCACATATACAGAAATGAAAACATATTCACTATATATTAAGAATAAAGTTATAGACAAGTATAACATGTCATTTTTATTTCTAAATATAAAACAAAATTACACATCTATTTATTTATCTCTGTGCTTAGAAACATCTGAAAGATGCTAGTAATTATATTTGGCAAATGTGATATTTACATTATTTAAATTTTTGCAATACATGTGTACCACTTTTTATTTTCATTTTATTTTATTTTTTTTGAGACGGAGTCTCACTCTGTCACCCAGGCTGGAGTGCAGTGGCACGATCTCAGCTCACTGCAACCTCTGATTCCCTGGTTGAAGCAATTCTCCTGCCTCAGCCTCCTGAGCAGCTGGGATTACAGGCACGCGCCACCATGCCCAGCTAATTTTTGTGTTTTTAGTAGAGACGGGGTTTCACCATGTTGGCCAGGATGCTCTCGATCTCCTGACCTCACGATCCGCCTGCTTCGGCCTCCCAAAGTGCTGGAATTACAGGCGTGAGCCACCGCACCCAGCCCCACTTTTTATTTTTTACTTGTTTTTTAAAGAAAGTATAAGAACAAAAATGGTTAAAAGCACAGATTCTACAGCCAACATTCTGGATTTGCAAGTCTGCTACCTATCAGCAATGTGACCTCTATGCCTCAGTATTCCCAATGTATAGCAATGACACCTATACGTTAACAGTAACAACGGTAACTGTTAAGTTACAGAGCTCTGGTGAGCATTAAATGAGTTAAATGGAAAGATCTTAGAACAATGTATGGCAGAGGGTAGGCACTATATGGGACATGTCCACTATTACTAACCTTGAATAGCATTCTTAGATTACTTCAACCAAGCCATCCCGCAGAAGCCCATCTAAAGTGACCAACAAAATTATCAGTAGACAATGGGCACAGCAAATACACTGGCTCTCGGTAGCCAATTAGCAATATGAAGTATTAAAACCGCCTGGCAACCTAGGATTTCGATTCTAGCTAGGCTTTCTCTTGTCCTCAACTTCCTCATCTGTTCAAAGGAAGAAGATGACTTAGATAACTGACAAATCTAATATCCTAAAAAGTTTACTGTTTAAATAATGATAGATTTTTATAGTTGCTTCAAAAATGTACTCCAGTCAGTAGGTGCAGAACCTGAAACACAATTCCATACTAAAATACATGCTCCATAAGAGAGAAACTCCTTCAAGAACAGTCTCTTGGAATACACTGCAGCAGAAAAGGACTTCCTCCATCTGAACATAATCTAATTGCATTTCCCTACAAGCATACTATATAACTCACATATTTCATTCACTTAGATGGTTTCCTCTCACCTATCCCACTGCCCACACCATAAATACAAATTAGTGATATTTTACTCCATATTCACCAAGACTCTATGGTTTCATAACCACTAGAAGAACAAGTAACTGTTTCCCACCTGGTAAAAACTCAAATATACTGCAGTCAAAAATGCCTCACATACACACAAACCAACATAAAATACTTACACGAAATGCTGCAAGAATGATTCTCGTTACTTTCTCTTTGACAGACTCCTGAAGGATATCAGACAGAACTGGAATGATATTATAGCGCCGCAGGTGTTCACACATTTGAGGACTGAATGCCAGGAGCCATATTGAAAAAATCATTTGATACTGGAGCTGAAAGCCACACTTGTTACTCAACACTCCCATTATGCTGGGGGGGAAAAAAAAAAAACCACACATTTACAAAACATTTAATATGATAGCAGAAGAAAGAAGAAATAAGCAATTATTCTCTTTTTGCACTAACGGAACAGGTCTCTCTGAATTATGTCCTGTTTCCTTCCTACCAGCAATAACAAGCAGCTAGATTGTTACTCACAGAGAACCATTTCCAGTACAGCTCCACTTAACCCTCTCTCCAAAAGTCACAGGACCTCAGGAAGCAGGAGCTCTTGCTGTGCGGCAAGAAGGGAACAAAGACAGGCAATATGGCAACGGGAATGGAAAGAGCAGTCGGACAGACAATAGAGCCACAAGTTACATGCAGATTTTGAGTCCGGGCAACCAATAAGACCACTGATAGCTTTAAAATATAGAGGAAACAGAGAAAAGAAGGGATGAGTTTGGTGAAAACCTGTGATAGGTTCAAATTTGACACAGCCAATTACTGAATTTGGGGGTCAGGAAAAACCTCAGTTTGATCAAGAGATCAAAAACTCAGTTTGATCAAACTTCTAGTTCGATCTCTTACTTTACTGATAAGGAAACTAGGAAAATGACATGGAAATGAAGGAGGTTACACCAAGACAGATAACATATACAATAGAAGAAAAGCTAAGGAAACCGCCCTGGGGAATACCTACATTCAAACAATGGAGTTCAGAAATCATCAAATTAAAAAAAAAAAAATCATCAAATAAGATCATTAAAAGTAACCTTCATATTGGAGCAGAGCCTACTATTTAAAAAAACACCAGAGGGGTAAAGAGCTCGAAGACCACAGAATGTACAACACAAAGAGTGAGTCCTAATGTAAGCTATGGAACTTTTTAATAAAAATGTATTAACATTGGATCATCATTTGGAACAAATATACCATATTAATTCAAGATGTTAATGATAAGGGAGTTTGCGGGGGAGGGGAGAGGGGAGGATGTAATGGGAACTCTCTGCACTTCAGTTTTTCTGTAAAACTAAAGCTGCTCTAATAATATAAATGTTTAAAATGCTACACCTGATTTTACAATCTAATCCTACTGTAACTTACTGAAAGGCTTTTATCTGTGTTATTTCTCCATTTGTATGATTGTATATAGTTCAGTTCACTAATTGTTTTTAATGTTCTCATGCATGGCTTTTGCCTTGTCTTCTCTATTTTTGGTTGTTATGCAAAACTTGCTTTTTAATTAATATTGACATTGGTATATAAGCTGCTGTAAAATCATGTCATTTTATACTGTAAAAACCCTAGTCCCTGGTTTCCTTTGCTCTCTGTTCCAGTTATTAAGCCAAGCCTTCTGCACTTCGCTTTGTGTTGCTGAGACCCTGAAAACCACATTTCTGTTCCACCAGTTGGCTCCCTGTTAGGCTATACCAAGAATAGGAGCTACAGGCTGACTTCAAGGAAAGAAGAATGGACTTCCTCCTGTTGGCTTCCTGATCCTGAGAGCATTACCCCAGTAACACTCCTTCAACCCGGCAGCAGCAGTTCTTTCCCATGGCAGCAGCCAAATACAGTTTGCAGTTTTTCAGCTCTAGCAGAACAAGCCTCATCACATTTCCTGAGACATCAGCACTAGCCAGCTGGCTCCCCTCCCCAGAGTCCTGGGTTCTAAATCCACGAGGCTTTTCCTCGGAGTTCAGAGACACCAACATCAGCTGGGCAAAACCTGCTCCTCAAATGTCTAAATTTCAGCTGTACCATCGGCCCCTCCTCCAAGCATGCAAATTTTAATGATTCCAATCTCTTACCACTGCACGCCTACTTTACATCCCCCACCCCGCCTTATGGGTGGTATCTACACTTGCTACGTTTCTGACACTCCAGACTCATTTTTGTTTGTTTGTTTGTTTCATTTTAAACAAAATTAGTGGCTGGGCATGGTGGCTCAAGCCGCTAATCCTAACATTTTGGGAGGCCAGGGTGGGTGGATCTCTTGAGCCAGGAGTTTGAGGCTAGCCTGGGCAACATAGCAAAATCCCATCTCTATCAAAAATAATAATAATAATAATACCAAAAGATTTCCCCAAAAATACAAAAATAGTTAGCAAATGTATACTTAGTAATTCTTCATATCAAATTATGTTAAAATAAAAAAGAATGCCGATGATAGTTGAATGGGAATAGCACTGAATCTATCAATTACTTTGGGCAGTACAGGCAATTACCCCCAGCAAAGGCCCACTTATAGCTCCAATATTTAGGAAGTTAACATTAACCTTCAGACTTCCCTGTGAGGCTAACAATATATAGCACAATATAATGTAAATTTTTTTTATCTTATATAGGTATACAAATACTCAGTGTTGTATTATGTATATAATAGGCTTTTTAACAACAAAGAAGTCAGCAAACTATATAGATTAAAATGTACTGAGTTTTTTTAAGACCTCAGTTATCAGCCAGGCGAGGTGGCTCATACCTGCAATCCCAGCACTTTGGGAGGCAGAAGCGGGCTGATTATGAGGTCAGGAGTTCAAGACCAGCCTGGCCAACATGGTGAAACCCCATCTCTACTAAAAATATAAAAATTAGCCAGGCGTGTTGATGCATGCTTGTAATCCTAGCTACTCAGGAGGCTGAGGGAGGAGAGTTACTTGAACCCAGGAGGTGGAGGTTGCAGTAAGCTGAGATTGCACCGCTGCACTCCAGCCTGGGAGACAGAGCGAGACTCTGTCACAGAAAGAAAAAAAAAGACCTCAGTTATCTTCCACTCTTCAAACGAGCTATACTTGAAAATTTTTCTCCTCACATTATTCCCATTTGCAATGTGAGAAACACACACACGCACACACAAATTCAATGCTAAGCAAAAACTCAAAAAGTAGAAAGTACTTATTTCTGAAAAAATGAAAAGATTAAATGACTTTTTGAAATTGCTATACTTTCAGCAAGTTATTACACCTTTATTAATGCCCATTTCTCCACCTAAAGGTTTAATCTGATTACTGTTAATCTTATTAGTGGTCATTAGCATATCAAAATATATTGGTTGAACATGAAATAGTCTAGATCATATTTATGCCTGATCTTGTTGCTGTTGAATGATTAACATTGCTGAATGGTCTCTAAAATACTAAGGTACTAGTCACTAGAACAGCAGCATTTGTTGTACTCAGTATACCATGAGAGTTCAGAGAGACCAAATTTTGGTATTTGAGTTTATTTTATAAGCAATTACAACTATTTGTAGAGATTGCTATTTCATGACTTTGATTCTTTCTTATAGGTCCTCCACAGGGGGAAAAAAAATCTATTTTTTGGTTAGTAGAATTAAAATTCATTTTATCTTACAATTAGGGCAGAGCACTCATGAATGGAATCAGTACCCTTCTAAAAGAGTGCTGAGAAAGACCCCTGTCCCCTCTGCCATCTGAGTTTACAATGAAAAGATAGCCATCTATGAATGAGGAAGCAGACCCTCACCAGACACCACATCCACTAATGCCTTCATCTTAGACTTCCTAGCCTCCAGAAATGTGAGAAGTAGTTTCCACTGCTTATAAGCCACGTAGTATTTTGTTAAAGCAGCCCAAATAGATTAAGACACCTCCTTTCTTTCAGGAGTCTGAAATTTTGGTGTGTTTTAGGCAGTGTGTGTCTACATAACTAACCTCTAATAAAATCTTGGGAGCTGAGTCTCTGATGGGTTTCCTGGACAGAAACCTCACAAAAATGTTGCTGCATTTTCAATGCTAGGGGAGATACTCTGTGAGACCCCTCTGGGAGGAAGAGAGCATAAGGGAGCCTGCGCATGGATTCCTCCACACTCTGCCTGTGTCTTTGTCCCTTATGATACAGTCGTGTGTCCTCACTGCATCTCTGTAATAAATCTTATCTGTGAATACAACTATAAGCTATGTCGGTGAGTCTAATGAACCTCCTGACAAGTGTGAATTTTTTATTTTCTGCCTATAATAATGACCAACAGAGGAAAGTGTTTCACAATTATTAGATTATTCAGAAGATGAAAACAAAGAGACAGACTGCACTCTATTCTCTAACAATAACGGTGAAATGGGTCAAATTAAGTGAAATCTTAAACTGTGAGTCTCTAGATATCTATATTATAAATGAATTTTCTCAAACTCAAGAACTGATAAATGAGGAATATATTTATAAGGACAAAAAGGAAATATAGTATTCTCAACTAGTTAGCCATTGAACATGAAAGACTTCCAGACAGTATTTTGCAACAAGAACCTAGACCATTTCGCTCAAGGACATGTGATGATTTTCTGTCATCTTTTATGATACTTGTGTATCAAAATGTACTTTTTACAAAAAGGTTTGCTATGTTTTAATTTTTATTGAAATTTCTAACAGTTGTTTTTCACTCTCTTTATTCTTAGTTCCGTCAATTTTTCACAAAATGACTAAAAATATATTTTTAAAGGGTCTGTTGGACCCAGATGACAAACTGTGATGGCTATTTTTCCTGGCAAACTGACGACTAAACAAACAAGAATGGACTGAAATTTTACAGATTAATAGAAAAATAATTACTAACTTACTGAATTGATGGATCTTGAATAGTTGTGACAATTTGAATACAATTCCTAAGAACAGCTATTTGCAGAAGTAACCCATTCTAAGGAATTGCATACAAATACTGACTGAAAAGATCTAGAATATTTGGGTCCCTTCACAGGTATATCCTACACTGGAGATACAGGTAAGAGTCCAATGCTTGCTTTAAATCCTCACCCACCAAGCAACTTACTCTTGATAACCTAAATTCCTCTGTAGATTTTCTAACAGAGAAACAATGCCTTGCTAACTGAAAAGAATATTTGGTTTAAGAGCAGTTAGATCTCTCATTATGAGCAAATAAGTTGATTTTCTGACAGTAAAACAAGATTTCCATTGTTTTGGAGGTTTTCAGTTGCTTGTCTATATAAGCCTGAACAGACAGCTCCTCAAAGTTTCTATACCTGCAAATTAGGATCCCACAAAGACTGGGTTAAATTATATGGCATTAGAAAGAAAGGTTTATATTCACTCTTAGGTACGAACTTTTCTTGTTGATTTCTGCCTACATTCATCATAAAATATTTTTTTTAATTTTTTATATTCTGAGTACCTGGAATCTGTCCTGTTAAGCATTAGGTTCTTAAGAGGCCTTAAACTCTTATAAAAGCACAGATCAAGCAAGGAAAGGGGCTCAGTTTGATAGTTACTGACTTCTAAGAAGGTTAGTATAGTCAATTGTTAAACAGATAAGAAAAAAATAAAATATTTCTTTTAGATGATTACATATTTCTTTGAAAATATCAAGGAGAGACGCTTGTAAATGTTATTTTACATTAAAAGTAAAGGGCACTCACCAATTTACCCCATCTGCTTCCACCCAAGCAAAGCGGTACTCATTGACCCGAAGCATCAGCTGCAAACACCCGGCCACACACTGCACATACTGTGAACTCTGCACAAGAAGAAGTGTTGAGTTTTTTAATTGGAAAGCATTTAAAGTCATGCGATCAGACACACATTTCTAAATGAAAATCTGATTACTTACTGGAATTAGCATCTGAGCATCCAAAATTCCCTAATCTCTTTTCAAAAGTTAATCCTCATGTTTGCTTTAATCTCTCCCTCTTAGAAATGAACAAGATTTTGTCTCCTGAATTAAATCTACACAAGTCAAGACTACTTAACACACAGTTAGGGAAATCTGGAACAAAATAATTTATATTTGATACAGTTTGATAAATAAGCATATTGCCTTACAATGTTTCACATATCCCTGAATAAAGATACTATAGAGAGAGAATACTGTTCCACATAATTACAGAACTATCAAAGAACAATAAAATTAACAAAAAGAAGAGTAAATACTTCGAGATAGGCCTATATGTAAATGACCTCGGACAAGTTACCGAACTTTTTCAGTATGAAATGTCTTCATCCTTTTGAGAACAACATAGCCAAGCACCCTGAATATTGTTAGATTTAAGAAAAATAATTCAGGCCAGGCACAGTGGTTCATGCCTGTAATCCTATCACTTTGGGAGGCTGAGGTGGGTGGATTTCCTGAGTTCAGGAGTTCCAGGCCAGCCCAGGCAACATGGTGAAACCCCGTCTCTACTAAAAATACAAAAAATTAGCTGGGCGTAGTGGCGCACACCTGTAATCCCTGCTACTTGGGAAGTTGAGGCATGAGAATTGCTTGAATCCAGGAGGCAGAGGTTACAGTGAGCCGAGATTACACCACTGCACTCCAGCCTGGACAACAGAGTGAGACTCTGTCTCAAAAAAAAGTAAATAAATAAATAATTCATTTCACAACACAGCTAGACAAACACAGGAACTCAATAAATAAAAACTTTATTAAAAAACCCATATGGCATATAAAGTCTAATTAAACACTTGAAAAAGACTATGATTTTTAAAACCATCAGTTCAATAACACTGTCCCTTACAAATTGTGCTTAAACCTGAAACTTAAAATAAACTGGAGTAACACTCCCAGAAAGTTGCAAGTCCCTTCATTTTACCAAAGCTAGTGGGAACATCTGACCTGGGCTTTTCCTTAAATATATACAATAAGCCTTAAGACTTTAAGAAGTAGAGAAAGGAGGCTAGGTGCGGTGGCTCACGCCTATGATCCCAGCACTTTGGGAGGCCAAAGTGGGTGGATCACTTGAGCTCAGGAGTTCAAAACCAGCCTGGCCAACCCCCATCTCTACGAAAAATACAAAAATTAGCCAGGCGTGGTGGCACACACCTGCAATCCCACATACTCAGGAGGCTGAGGCAGGAGAATCGCTTGAACCCAGGAGGCAGAGGTGGCAGTGAGCCAAGATCACGCCACTGCACTCCAGCCTGGA